TAACCTGTTCTTCCTCCCACCTATCCCCTCCTCCCACCTCAAGCCGCACCTCCATCTCCTACCGACCAACCTCATCCCGCCCCCCTGACCTGTCCGTCCTCTCTGGACTGACCTATCCCCTTCCTAACTCCCGACCTACACTCACCTTTACTGGCCCCATCCCCGCCTCTTCGACCTGTTTGTTTCCTCTCCACCTATCCTCTCCTCTATCCATCTTCTATCCACCTCCTACTCTCTCCCTATTTATTTCAGAACCCCCTTCCCCTCCCCCTTTTCTGATGAAGGGTCTAGGCCCGAAACGTCAGCCTTTCTGCTCCTATGATGCTGCTTGGCCTGCTGTGTTCATCCAGCCCTGGACCTTGTTGTCTCGGATTCTCCAGCATCTGCAGTTCCTACTATCTCTGATTCAAGTCCCTCAGCCTTTCCTCATAAGACCTTCCCTCCATACCAGGCAACATCCTGGTAAATCTCCTCTGCACCCTTTCCAATGCTTCCACATCCTTCCTATAATGCGGTGACCAGAACTGTACGCAATACTCCAAGTGCGGTCGCACCAGAGTTTTGTACAGCTGCAACATGACCTCATGGCTCCAAAACTCAATCCCTCTACCAATAAAACCTAACACACCGTATGCCTTCTTAACAACCCTATCAATCTGGATGGCAACTTTCAGGGATCTATGCGCATGTACACCGAGATTTCTCTGCTCATCCACACTACCAAGAATCTTACCATTAGCCCAGTACTCTGTATTCCTGTTACTCCTTCCAAAGTGAATTGCTGAATATGCATTCCACACCTTGGTTACTGATATTCCTTTCACTGTCCTGTTTTCAACAGCTTTTGAATTTATGAGGGCGATGGAAAAAAGGTTTGGTTTTAACGATTAATTATAATCATCAGCTATTATTGCTTCCTGTCTAATAGTTGCAACCCTTTGGTCAACAACAGGGATCCTTATTACCAAAAGAACTGAACTTTAACTATATCTGGGAGGATAATCTTTTTAGGAGCCTAATCCACCTTCATCCACACTTACTTTGTTTAACCATTTCAAATTCAATGCAGGTTTGTCTCAGCTGTTTCCCCTAAATTCCAGAACATTTGCCCATATGCCTCAGACATTCACTCCAATATGAAACCAATATAGTTTTCTTTACAGTGCCATAATCCTGAGAAACTTCCACTGACAATGAAACATAAGTTTCCTGTGCTTTACCTGTCAGTTTATGCTGCATGAGCAAGTCAAGTCACCCTTTACTAATTTACCAAGGCGGCATGGTGGCAAAATGGTTAGCAGTACTGCCTCCCAGTAACAGTGTCCTGGGTTTAATTCCAGCTTTGGGCAACTGTCTTTGGTGGAGTTTATGTGTTCTCTGTGTGGATTTCCTTCAGGTGCTTCAATTTCCTCCCATAGCCCAAAGACGTGAACGTTAGATGGATTGGGTTAGTGTGTGGATACCTACACAATCTGCAATGTGTGGGTTAGCCATGGTAAAAGTCCCATGTAGGATTGGGGGATATGGTTGGTTTGGGTGGGATGTTCTTCAGAAGATTGATGTAGACTCAATGGGATGAATGGCCTCTTTCTGCACTGTAGGAATTCTATTATTCAATTCATTTTTTCAGCCTTTTTCTCAAATGAAATGACAATTCCTCTGTGTCCTTTCCCTCAATTTTTTGGTAAGGCCTTTGCAAACATAGACATTTCTTTACCCAATTTCAAATTATATGTTAGATTGTCCCCACCAGGATTTGCATCAGCATCTGACATCTTCTATTTCAACTGCATCGTTTTAAGCTTATGTTCATGTTCCCTCATTTTCTCCTCATTTTTCACTTCTAAATTTATTGTTCTTTCCTTTGCAATTCCTGTCTTCTTAGTTCAATTTCTCTTTCTTTGTCTTTTATATCCCTTTGAAATTCCATCTAGCTTTCTTTCACCCTCATGATCAATCTGCCTTACTTGGAACTGAATATCACCTGATTCCAATGTTTGACAACCCAGAGTATCCACCTTCTCTCGTACTTCCTCTAAACCTGCTATCTCAATTATCTCTGCCTGCTTCACTCTGTCAAGGAATGCCACATAAGTTTACCTACCAAGTCAATCAATTTGGCCTTTGAAATTTCCCTTAAGACTACCAGGGATAACTCTGCCATCTTCAGCAAATCCTTTACAGCTTCCAGTGCTGTGTCTTAAATGCAGAACAGAACTTGCTGTTTTCATTCATCCGTGTTATTTACGCATACCAAATCCTCAATGCCTCCGTTTTAAATTTATCCCAAAAGAGTACCCAATCTTTGTGACACCTCCCTGGCCTAGCCCACTGGAAATCAATACCTGCTGTCTGTGGAGTTATCATAAAAGTTAAACATTTTATTGAAGTTTGTAAAATTCCACAAATTACCTGAGTTTCAGCCCTAGATTGACACAACGCACAAATGATGTTTCTTTACTTAACAAGAATTATTATATGTTATAAGTTACTGGTCCTTAGGCAGAGATAAACAATTAAAACTCTACTAGTTAAAAAAATTAATTCTCTTATAAACTCCCCCTTACACAGGAGAAACAGGTGGTAGTGGGGGTGCGGGGGGCGGAAACCGGTGTTATGGCAGAGGAAGTAACTTGGAAAACAATTTAGTAGTCTTTGCATCGGATTTGCTGAGATGGTTCGTGTGCCGATCAGAACGCTGCTATCCTGTTTTCTGTCTCCGGATACTTTTAGTCATTTGAAAGTGAAACAGGGTGCTAGTTCACACTTTTATAGGGTCTCTGACTCATTAGTTAAAAGTCATAGCTTACCCCAACTGCTTGTAGAAAAAAAAGCTTTAAAGTAGCTTCTGCTGCTGAGAACAGAGACAATTCCTGAGCTGGTGGAGAACTGATGATTTCTGGCTATCCTGTTTGCAGACTCAAGTTGCTCAGTTACCTGAAAACCTGTCACATTGTTGTTGGCAGGCAGAAGCCCTTTGTCATCGATAACTAGTCACTGGTTCACAAACAAATCAGCTATTTATCCCAGCTGAATTTCCACATACACATGGCCTTGAGTCAAGTTATTTTGCATCTTCCTTGAACAGACAGCAATGTAAAGATGCTTGCAATGAATGTCAGATTACTTGCTTTCAAAAGTAGGTAGTAATCCTACAGCAATTCTTGTTGTTTTTGTATCAGTTATTTTGTCATTTCACTATTAAAAATACAGAAAAATAAAAAGACACATTTTAAACATTTTGAATATGAAAATCCCAATCCCTTTCTCAATGTACTTACACAGTGTAACAGCATTTTTAATAATACATATATTTACTCATTTCCTTATATGCTCAGAAGAAACCATTTGGATTAGAACAGCTGGAAACGTCATTTGTTCTTTTTAGAACATCATGCACTTTAGCTGAAGATATGTTGATGGGGTAAATATTTGTCTTGTAGAATTAAGAATCATGGTCTCCAGTTCACCTGCCTCCTTGCCCAACTTCAGAATTGTACCCAGTCAAGCCAAATATCAAATGGATCCGATAACAAATGATTCTGCTTGTTTTGCAAGATTGGCTAAAATGATTTTATGCACCATTGGTTCAACTAAATAACAAATGTAACATTGCATAAGGGGCTATTGTCCATAGGGCCCTCAACAGGGTGTGACCCATCTCCTGCACTTCTGCCTTCACCCCCCCTCTTTTCCCTTCTGCAACAGCTATAGGGTTCCCCTTGTCCTTACTTACCATCACACCAGCATCCACATTCTTAAGATCATTAGCCACCATTTCCATCACCTCCAGCGAGATGCTACCACCAGACAATATTCCCCTCAAGACTTGCCCATTTACCTCGTCCCTCCTCAGTATCCAGGTGAAGCAGCACTTCACACAATCTAGTCTACTGCATTCAATGCTCACAATGTGGTCACGTCTACATTGGGGAAATGAAGCGTAGACTGGGTGACCGCTTCGCTGAACATCTATGTTCTGCCTGCAAAAAAGACCCTGAGTTCCAGTTGCCTGCCGTTTTAACAAACCACCCTGTTCCCTGGCTAATATCTCTGTCTCAGGCCTGCTGCAGTGTTCCAGCAAAACTCAGTACAAACTGGAAGAACTACACCTCAGTTTCCACTTGGGGACCCTGCAGCCCTCCAGACTCAATATTGAGTTCAATAATTTCTGGGCCTGAACTCTCCCTAGCCCCCTATCCCACACACCAGGCCGTGTTATCTCATAGTCTGTCATTACACATTACAGATTGTTAAGTGATTTACAGTCTCCATTGACAGCTATTTACCCTTCTGGCCAAATCATAATCAATTCCTTTGTGCCTGCAACTGCCTTCTATCTCTTTGGGCTCTATCCCCATCCTTCGTTTACTCCTTACTCCATCCCCCAACCCATCTTCTGGCTATAAACCAACATTTTCCTAACTACCATCAATTCTGAGGAAGGGTCACGGGACCTGAAACATTAACTCTGATTTCTCTCCACAGATGCTGCCAGACCTGCTGAGCTTTCTCAGCAACTTCTGTTTTTTTGATATTGCTTAAGGGGCGGTCGCTCGGTTGTGTGTGATAATACTTCTGGGTAGGAAAAAAATAACTAAAAAAAGACACTGCATAAAGGAATAGTGCACCAGCGGTTTAATAGGGCGCTAGATTCAAATCCTGGAACTCCCTCCCTTAACACCAATGCGTGCAACTTCGAAGACTTCAGCGGTTCAAGGAAGCGGTTCTGCCATTTATGATTTAAATAGTGCCCAGCTAAAGACGCCACTTCCGAGGATCTACATAGAAACACAGCAGGAACATTGACAGCCGTAGGACTTATAGCCATTCCAACAAAACTGGAACACTTAGTCCAAACAGAACACTTTTTGTTTTGTCGCTGAAAGTGTACCGCGGAACAAAAAGAAATATATTTACCAATCAACAGGAATTACATTTAATAACGAACAACTTGAGATATTGACCTTGCTGTGCTGAAACTGTTTAACATTTCGCAGATGAGTCAACGGAAAATCGTCGAACTTCAGACGCTGGGAAATCGAGATAACTGTCAGCACTCGCCAATAAAAAAACGCTTAAAGAAAAACAGAAATTGCAAGAAAAACTCGGTAGGTCCGGCAGCATTAGTGGAAAGAGAAATTTTTCGAGTTCAGTCACCCTTCAGAACTGTTTTCTCTCCACAATACGCTGCCAAACCTGCTGAGTTTCTCCAGCGATTTCTGTTTTTGTTTCAAATTAAGGATTACATTTTCTAATTACAAATTTATTTCACTCACAGATCTCTCTGACTGCACAGAAAGTCCTGATATCCACCTCACATTGCTCTTTACAGTTTGACCCTGCCCCCTGGGTTTACACCTGCAGTTTAATGCAAACCAAAATTCTGGGTTACTAAACGATGATTGCAAAGTCCGAAATAAGCGATTTTTTAAAAGCAAGCAAATCACCCCGCCCATTGAAGCCTCTCGTGTTTGACTGCCTCTCTTGCTTCTTGGCAGTCATATTTTAAAATATTATACCAAGAGAGTCCATGTAGTATGTTGGACTTTCATTATTAATTCCACCTACATCATCTACTTTAGACCCCAAGATTCGACATTATATTTGTTTTGTCGATGGCTGCTGGACATTCGTTCCAATAAGGGACCTCGATCTCCATCAGTTTCATTATTTTCTATTTCAATACCATTCCGGGAGTATTTCAACCCCTATATTTTTCCAATTTCAGTAATGTCCCTTCTATCATAACATTTATGGGTTAAATATTTTGTCCAACTTATTCCATCATTTCTGTTAAAATTCTGCTCGCTCTATCAGTTTGCCCATGTGATATGCAGTTTCTGAATTCGAGTTATTTGGGTGATCTGGCATCGTAATTGTCCTTCGCCATCCTTGGACCTTAAGTTGAATCGTCACAATTCTGAATCGATGTAATGGCTGCTCTCCTTGAACTTTACTGGTTTTTTTTTGGAAATCGAAATGCATTTTATCTTCTGAACTAGGATAGTTCCCTTTTTGTTGTTGACACATTGTGAATGAAATTACATTGGTGAGCTAAAATACTCACCCTCGCACTGTGTTGAATATAGATGACTTGATTATCCACGCGCAATAACTCATAGAATCGTAATTGTTTTACTGCAAGATGAGAATATCCTTTGAGAAATACTTCACTGCTGTAACATGGATGGGGACATCTTGAAGCAATAAAGACACTGTAGAACTACATGTCTTTCTGATTCTATAATTTTATTCATGCACGCTCAATTCAGCAGCACAAACAACACGCATCAATATGGTACCTTGAATAGAAAAGAAACAACCAGAAGGCAGTTTATAGTGTTGAATTTAAAAATTCACTATTGAAACTGGGAGAGTAACTTAAAGCATAGGAGAACATAATATTTTTAACGTAAATTAAAGAAAGAAGGATTTACAGAGGTAGAGGCAATTAGAGGTGATCTCCAGATGTCAGGATTTAGGTAGTGCAAACAATATGTGTTGCTTGAAGGGATTTCAAGATGCAGAAAGTCAAAGCTGGAGGATCCAGGTACCTACCCAAAGGGTTGCCAGATTGGTAGAAACTAATACGATAGCGACAGATGACATCAGAATAGTACAAGACATCAGGAATAGCATCACATTTAGGATTTGGGTACCTGGAATCAAGGACATCAAGCAATGAACATGCAAGTGGAACATTAGCTTTTGTTACAAAGTGAGTGGCGTATAAGAGGAAGGAAATTAATGTGGCCATAGCTGATGTGCTGTATACAGTTTTGGTCTCCTTACCTAAACAGGGGTAAACTTGCTCCAGAGAAAGTGAAACATGGGTCTTTGCAGTGGTTCCTGGGATGAGGGATTTTTCAAATGAGAAGAGATTGAGTCGACTAAATCAATATTTCCCAGAGGTTAGAGGTAAGAACAGGAATATAATTTAAACAGTTAAAATTCTTAAGTGCTTGACAGGGTTAATGCAGAGAAAATGTTTCACTTAGTTGGGTAATTTGTTCTACTTGTTTCTAAGTTTGAGGAAACAGTCATTTACAACTGAGGTGAGGAGACATTTTCTTCACTCTAATCATTGGGAATTCTTTACCTCAGTGAACTGTGTATGACCAGTATCTAATTGAACTCACAAAGGCAGCCAGCAGATCTCTGGACACTAAGGAAATTAAGAGATTTTGGAACATCATTTGGTGGTGAATTTAAGGTAGATCAGTCACAATCTCACTGAATTACCAAACAAGCTTCAAGAACTGAAGAAATTACTTTTTTTCCCATTTTATGTTGTTATATTTAATATGTAATTCTTTATCCTCAGGCTTTAATTCAACTCCTCATTGAAGCAAAAATCATAGATGGAGGCCAATCAGCACATCAAGCCTTTGTTCGTTCTTTGAAAGTGTTATACAATTAGTCTGACATATTTAAATAATACTATTACCAAGCATATGGATACGTATTTTAATGATCAAATACAACATATTTAAATGGAACACTAAAAATGTTTCTCTGTATCTCCTGCACCATCTTCACTTTTTATCTGTTTGTTTACTCTGATGTGATCTCATATTTGCCTTTATTATTTTTTATTTCTTCTCCTGACCCACGTAATCTACACATCCCTGGACACTATGGGCAATTTGGGTTATAGGGGGATGGGTCTGGGTGGGATGTTCTGAGGGTTGGCATGAACTTGTTGGGCCAAAGGGCCTGTTTCCACACTGTAGGGATTCTATGATCTATGACCATTTGTAACTACAGTCTCACTGTTGTTTGCTATATTTTAGTTTGCCTATAGGACATTTTTCTATCCATCTTTACTTCAGGACCTTCTGTCCTTTTGCAACTTTGTTCTGTGTGCTTTATCTACTTATGAGCTCAACACCCAGTTCGTTATGAGGAGAAAATATATTAAGACATCTAATATGACTATGAATATAAATCACTGTGGAAAGGCTAAAGCAGATCAGAAGAATTTTCTAAATCTGCGTACAGTCTTTTAAATGCCCTGCATACTTTTATTGAGTCAAGATTTGAGACAATTAGATCAAACAATGTCATTTGACATTTAGCAGCGAGATTTGAAGTATGGCTAATGTACACAACACTGTGAAATCACAACCAGCCAACTCAAAAACTGCAGATGATTGGGAACCTGTGTTGATTTTGGACACAGGATTTGTCTTAATCAATGCGTGATGTTGGGAGTCGGGATGAGATGCACAAAGACAGATGATGAGGCCACAGGTAGAGATCACTGAAAGAAAACAGTAGCATTTAGAGAGCAGGAGATAGAACCTGTAAGAGTAAGGGTCGTAGGTAGGTGAAGTGACAAAAACAGAAAGATGACAAGATATTGGCAAATGGTATGATGAAAGTAAAGATACAGAGATATAAGAAGAATGAGGAAGAGGTTGCTATCTGCAGGACATAATAACAGGTAGACAGATGTTCAGACATTCCTTCCTTGCAAGCTTAAATAGCACAATCATACTCATGTTGTTTTAATACACTTTTTAAAATAACTTATAAATGAATTTAAAAAACGGCAAATAATAGCAAATAACACCACTTTCCAGCCTCCCCTTATAAGTCTTAACTCACTTGTAGATCAAAAATCTGGCTAACTTTGCTTCAAAATTGAATTTGTCTTTCAGATGGAAATCAGAAGTAGAGAGTAAAAGAGTGGTAAAAGTAAAAGAAATAATAAGAATAGGAGAGCAATGAAAAGAAGAATAGTCAAGATACAGGCATAGGAAGAAAGAGGGCGAAGAGGAAGCAATATATCTTTCAAAAACATTTTCTCTAATCAAAGGTAATCTAACTGAAATGTTAACTTTGTTTCTCCATGGTTGTTGCCTGACTTGCTGAGTTCTTCTATAATTTCCACCAAACTTTACAGATGCAATATAGTGCATGAAAACGTGCAGTTGCATACTTTGGTAGGAAGAACAGTGGAGATGCATATCATTTAAGTGGAGCAAAACTGCAGGAAGCTACAAAACAGAAGGATTTGGGAGGCCGTATCTATGAATTGCATGTAGCTAGATTCAGTGGGTACTAGGGAAGATGATGGAATGTAGGCCTTTATTTCAAAGAGAATGGAGTATAAAAGTAGGGAAATTTTCCTAAAATTATACAAACCACTTGTTAGACTATAACTGGAATACTGTGAACAGCTTTGGACCCCTTACCTAAAAAAAATATACTAACATTGGAGGCAGTCCAGAGAAATTTCATAAGGCTGATACCAGGTATGAAAGTACTGTTGTATGCAGAGAGGTTGAGGAAGCTGGATCTGTACTCATTGGAATTTAGAAAACTGAGCAGCAACTTTATTGAAACATTTAAGATTTTTAGTAGAATTACCAAGGTAGATGTGGAAAGGTTGTTTTCCCTTGTGGGACAGTCTAGGATCAGAGGGCATAATCTCAGGAGAAGGGGTCGACATTTAAGGCAGAGGTTAGAATGAATTTCTTCTGTCAGAGGGTAGCAAATCAATAGGATTCTTATCACAGAGGACTGTAAGGCTGGGGGTTTCAAGGTTGATATAGACAGATTTTTAAAATCTGTAAGGAAATCAAAGGTTTTTGAAATGATAGGAAAGTAGAGTTTAGAATTATCAGATCAGCCATGATCTAATGGAATAGTGGAACAAACTTGATGGGTTTTGTCATGAACTTCTGCTCCTATGTCTTATTGTCTTTTTTTTTGTTCTCATTTGAGATGTCTAGAAACTACATAATTTAGCTTTTGTAACTATTTCCCTATTAGCAACTTGGATTAACACCAATGTTCATAATGTAAGAATTGCAGCAAGAGGACAAAAGAACTTTTAGAAACTTTCTTATCTAATTATTCAGCCTTGAATTTGTAACCAAGCATGTATTTCTGGATGGATGTAAATCAATGACGTGTATTTTCTCAAACAACACTATGTTATTAGTACTTCAGTTGATTAACAGAAGACTGACACAGGGTCAAGGAATATCAGTATTTTGGGCTGTACGCTCAGTAGGAAACAGAGTATTGATCCCTTCTTAGAACCTATCAATATTGACTATGTTGAGAGTTCATGACATTCTGTATCCCGAACTCAGTG